TTCTTAGTATTTGCTACCATTTGCTCAGAAGATTCTAAGAACTTATTGTAAACCTCACTTCATTTTTCTTCAAATTCTAAACACAGAAGATTGGCAAATTTTCAGGCGATATTTAAATATTGTCCTGAGTAAACATGGCTTATGATGGGACAGAGTACTGGGCTCAAATTTTACAGAAATATTTTATTACCTTTCTCTGCAAATTCTGTAATTCTACTCAACTTTAGGTCTACCAAAGAATACAGTACATGTAAACATGTATTGCAATCTCAATGCCAACAAGGGAAATCTTATGCTGACCTGCTATAATTAAAAGTTTAGTACCATTGTAAAGTAAACACCAACTCCCTATGTTTGTTTCACTCTAGAATAGCCATGTGTAAAGTACTTTAACAAAGGAGCCTCTCCTCTGGTCCCATAGTTCTTTAATTAAAAGAAAATTCCAACTGAAAAAAAAGTATACAGTAACATTAATATAAACAGATGCATATAAGCACACAGGGGTTGCTCTGGCAACCTGGTAGGTTAGGAGGTGTGCTGCTGAGGGAAGCCAAATATCAAAATTAATAATAGTAGACCAAATGCTGTATCGGGAAATGAGGGAAGCTTAATACAAGCTGAAGGTCACCTTGTGACACTAGGGCATTCCCTGGGAGTCAATATTGTTCTTAGTTTTTATCAAATGAATCCCTCCCTCTTGAGATTAACATAAAGAGGAACTTGGCCTTATCTGTAAAAGATTTCACCATTATCCTTTGTTTTGAACTTCCTTGTTTTTCAGTGTAAATACTCAAGAGAAGCATGGCTCGGTGGCTTCAGTCATGGGAACTGTTGGCCCCCTGTTTTTCACACTCTCTGTTCTACATCATTCCTGGCTGTTTGTCTCTTTATTATAAATTTATTCTATTCTTTGGGACCCTTGGTCTGCAACATGCTGCCAATCCAGAAGTTTGAATCCACTAATGGAGAAAGATAGCAATACCCCATCATGTAATTTACAGCCTCTTAAAACCTGCTAAAGGGTCAACTAAGAGTTGGCTCTAACTTGACAGCGATGTTTTTTGTTTGATATGTACAGAAATTCACATTCAAATAAATGCACATGCATGTGTAAGTGTATATACATACTATATGTACTACACATAAATTCACATGTAAAATAAACCATATAGAAGCACAGTTAGACAAGCTTCCTATGTACTCGCTTTGACAGCACATATATACTAAAATTGGAACAATACAAAGAAGATTAGATGGCCCCTGTGCAAGGATAACACACACATTTGTGAAGTGCTCCTTATTTTTTTTTCTCTACGTTTGCTCCCTTTCCTATAACCTTAACACTGAGTCTTGTTCCAGACCTGAAACCTGAACCCAGTTCCAGAGACAAAAGGGAAATAAATATAACTGCCAGCTAAGGAAGCAAAGGAGGATGGAGCCTCAGGGTTCAGCCAGCCACCCTACTGGACTCACCCTGGCAAACACTTTGCAGTCCAGAGGACAGTAAACATCAGGAAAACATCTTCTAATTGAACAAGAAAGCATGCAGCTTCAACCCAGGACCACCAGCAAAGTGTTAAAATGAGTTCCCCTTTACCCTTCACCTAAATGCCCTTGTTCAGCATGAAGAAACCAGAGTCTGCACCCCATTCCCAAATGAGAAACTCACAAGTAAATAAGACAACTTCCTTGTTAAAAAAAAATTGATCATCATTGGACTATGCCCACCATTATCCTGTCTTTTCTGGTCCCCACTGGATCTTTCTCATTTCCTTCATCCACTCCCCTCACCCACCAAATTGTGCAGCCCTGTGATTTCATCCCTGCCCATCCTCACTCTTCTGCTCCAAACCCTCACCCCCTTGTATCCCATACATGTTTTTTAGAAAGAAACAAAGGAAAGGCAGGCAGAGAAAAGAAGGAGGGAGGGAGGGAAGGAGGAAGAGAGGAAGGAAGGAAG